GTGCTTTTTCCTACATGATATATAGAGCACATTAATACACATAGATTATATATATCGGATGTGTGACGAGAAAGAGTGTTTGCCTTCCCTTTTGGCAACAGAAAACACACCCCTCTGCCTAGTGGCCAAGGCCCTTTTAGTAGCTTGCCTTCTGTAGGGCTCAGATGTGATCTCAGGCAAGCAGAGAGGATCAGTCAGGAAGCATTTTGCTAATCCTTTTTGGAGGCAACGCTTGGGCAGGGACTCAGGAAAACCGGCCTGGAGCATTTCCTAGACCTTCTTACTGAGAAGGGTAATTGTATTTTTGTGCCATGAGCACAAACCTATTCTCTCTTCTCCCTGCCTGTCCTCCCTTCTTGTTTCCATGTTTTGGATTTGCCAGTCTGGCGTCCCTTACCTATCTCTTGCTTTTTCCTAAGATGCTGTGCACAGAGGTGAGTTAGCAACACGGTGCTCCAAGGGAGTGGGTCTATCCATCGTGCCTTTTGAACCTCCGATTTCTCAGATTTATGGATGATGCTGGGCAAGTTTGATGACCCTGTTTTACAGATAAGGAAACTGGGGCACGGGGAAGTTGAATAATTTGTCCCAGGTGGAGGTCGGGCTCTGGAAGCAGTGCCCTAAAGCACTTTGCTAGGCTGTTTCTCCAGCATGTACATCTTCTGCCTCCTACTCCAGTAGATCAACAGGGCCTTAGTTGCTTCTGTATTCTCAGTACCTGGCAGAGAGCCTGCACCAGGAGGAGCAGACACTCTGCCTGTTGAACAGGTGGATTAGAAAGCTCTTTCATACAATGGCTGGGGGTGGCATAGGACGTACCTGGTTAGAACTTTCCTGGAGAGCAACTTGGCAATATTTAGCAACATGTCCCTATATTGGGCAACAGCAATTCTACTTCTAGGAATTAAAAAAAATTTCTTTTTAATTAAAAATTTGTTTTTCTTTTCAAGAGAGGGTCTCGCTCTGTCACCCAGGCTGGAGTGCAGTGGCACGATCATAGCTCACTGCAGCCTCAAACTCCTAGGCTCAAGGCTCAGCCTCCCAAGTAGTTGGGACTACAGGCACGCACCACCATTCCTGGCTATTTTTAAAAATTTTCTGTAGAGATGGGGTCTCACTATGTTGCCCAGGCTGGTCTTGAACTCCTGGCCTCAAGTGATCCTCCTGCCTCAGCCTCTTAAGTAGCAGTGCCACCACATCTGACTTTTCTAGGAATTTGTCTTCAGGAAATAACCACAGATGTGTGTGCAGACATATATATATATATGTTATATATATCTATGTTTATATATATATATGTTAAGCACGGTGTTACAATAATAAAAAATTTGAAATAGTCCAAATGCCAAACAATAGATGATGTTACTTTTCTATGATGGAACATTAGACATGCAGAAAAAATCATTTTCAGTGGGCAAGTAGTTACCACTGGAGAATGGGGGAATACCACTCCAGAGGTATATATGTAAAGCTTCAACTCTGTTTGTAATGATTTTTTTTGAGATAAGTGCTCATTATATTATTCTTTATACTTATTGGTATGACTGAAATATTGATTAAGTGAAAAAAATTTGAAAAAATCATGTTTAGAATTTTTAGTGATATAGAAGAATGATCATAAAATATGTTAAAATAAACAAGTCGTGATAAATAGTACGAACAGTATCTAGATCCCAACTATCTAGAGCAGAGTGTACATTTAGGCATAAAAGAAACATCTTAAACTTCTAATTGTGTTCATACTTGGGAAGTGTGATTTCAGATGATTTCTATTTTCTACAATGAACCAGTATTATTTTTGTAAAAAAAAAAAAGTAATACTTTTTAATTTATCAGCTCTTATCCATGGCTACTGTATTTTCTACTTTATGCCTAACTTCCTAAGCCAGAAACTCCAGCAGGATTTCCAACTTGTGTTTTCCTTTGTATTCACACAACCAGTGATTTTACTATTTTTTCCTCTACATTTTTTCAAACTTCTTTGTCTCTAGCCATTCTGCACAAGATTTCAGACTTTATTTTTGTCATATATCTAAAGCAGATGACCTTGGAACTATCTAGACCCTGATCTGGTGGTACTGAAAACCCCTATGTGTTTCCTGTTAACCAATTTGAGTTTCCTTTTAAGCTCCTTGGGGACAGAGATCACATGGTTTGGCAATAAATTGCTTGTAGGGAGTCAAAGATGGCGAGAAGCTGCAAATTGACTCTATAACTTTACACCTGTGAGCCATGTTGGGATACTCAATAGTTCTATCCCATCACATGGGAAAGAGTATTAAATATTAATAGACTAGTGTCCCTCACTGGGGTGTGAATGCACTAAGGGGCAGAGTGTGCCCATCGGGATGGGCTCGGAGAAGCAGCCCTGACCTGCCTTCTCTTTAATTCGTTCTGCTGGAGAACTTGCACGAGGTATTAGATGGTGGTGCTAAAGCTAACGACCTTGGCCTGGTAGGACTTTGTAAAGAAATCACAACTGGAAGAAAGGCATCAAGGTTCCAGGGGAGGCCAGGCAGTCCACAAAAATTGAAATGATTTCCCGAGGAAAGAGAAACAGCAGAAGTCAAGTTCATTTGGAGTGTTTCAGCATATGTTCTGAATTTGAAAACATTGTGCAGAAGGAAGGCAAGAAAACAAGGTTTTTTACCACATAGCTTAGGAAATGTGTGGGAAAGTGTTTGCAGCAGGAGGATTCAATTATAAAAGCTTCCTGTCCTTTTCTTATGCCTGTATCATTTTTCTTTCTAGACCAGAAAGAGTAGCTCAGAAAGTTCCAGATGAATGGAATAACAATCTCATCAAATAACCTTTGTGGAGGTCAATCTATTGCTTCCCATGTACATCAGTCAGGATTTTTGTGGTTGTAAGTGACAGAAACTCAACTCGAAACCAACTTGAGCAAAACCAAAGAGGAGGTTGTTGGCTGGGTGTCATTGAAAAGCCCAGTGGGTAGCGCTGCCTCAGTCATGGCTGGATTCAAGGGCTTGCATAGTGCCACCAGGAGTCTGTGTTCCTCAATCTTTTGGCTTATGTCTCTCCTCTGAGTTGGCTTGATTCTTTTTTAATTAAAAAATTTTTTTTTGTCCCGTGGGCACACAAGAGAGCTCACAGAAGCCCCTGACCACCCCCAAATATGGAGCCCTCTGAGAATCCCCAGCGTGGCACCTCTGTCAAAGGTTCCCACACCAGCCCCTCCAATAGCCTCCAGCAAGCTCCCTGGGGACCCCATCCTGAGACAAGCTCAGTCTCCTCCAGTGGCCTCCCCAAACCTCACCCCATGCCTACGCTGTGTTCATGTGTGAGCAACGCACACAGTCTCCCTCACAAACACCAACAGTCACGTCTTTCTCGGTTTCAAAACCCAGTCCCCAACCTTTTTGGCACCATGCACCAGTCTCATGGAAGACAACTGGCCCAGGAGTTGGGGACCACAGCCCTAACACATCCACCTCTCAAAATTGCCCTAGAGACCATGATTTCCTCCTGCTTTAACTTCCCCCAAAATACAACCATGACCCCCCAAAAGGGTTTTGTCAGCTATTTCCTAATGTCAATGTCTCCCTTTAAGAATCGGCGGGAACAACTTCCCTCTAGGGTGCCCCCCAACCCTGCCCAACTCCCCAAGGCTCTAAAAGTGCTCTTCACAGACCTGTTGGACCCCAACACACACCTGAGATCTGCCCAACAACTCCTTATTCAAGCCAACTCCACATAACTCCATCCCCTGGGACGACTCCTTCAGCCTTTTCTGCTGGAGACCCTCCATAAGGGACCCCCTGGGCACATTCCTTGCCCCAGAGACCTCTAGGGACAGGTCAGACTTGGGTTTGCAGCCCAGCTCCAAATGACTCTGGGGAAGTTAATATACTTCTCCCACCTTCAGTTCTCACCTCTGAGAAATGGAAATTACCCTAATCCAAGCACCTCCCAGTGGAGACTCAACTACTGCTAGACTCTGTTTCCGAAGCTGGGGAGATGGAGGTGACCCAAACCATCGCATCTACTTCTGGGGGAGACTGAGAATTAAAGGAGACCATGTCTGTGAAACGCTCAGGCTGGAAGGAGCGAGACTCTGGGGTCTCCCCTACAGGGGAATGACAAGGTTGTGGGTCCCCTTATGACCCCACAAGGCTACCCTGATAGGACCCCTCTGGTGGCCCCAATAAAAGTGTCAGATGTCCCTGACCATTCTCACGTTGATCCTAGAAAGACCTCATTCCACCCCAAAACCTTCTCAAGCTTCTGTGCCTCCTCAGGCATCCCAATGCCCAGTGACGCCCTCAATCTCAAAGTTACCGCGTTGGCAAGTCTCATGGCCTTCTAGCTCCTTCGACTCCGAGAATGGCCCCGTCTGCTCCACCACCTCCCCCAGTAATCCCTTCCCGCCTCCCCCCAGATCCCAGCACCGAGGGGCCACTCCTGGCAAACCCAGTGACCAGCTCGTCACATGGCACACGACCTCCCGGCGCCCCCCACCCTGCGGGACTCCCCCACAACGCATCTGTCTCATACAGGAGCCCCCCATGGCTGCCCCAGACACCCCGGTAATGACCACACGTCACTCGGTGAGATTCCCAGCCCCCCATGACCCACTGGGACAGCCCCCAGTAACCCTATGACCTCCAGGCGCCCCCCACCCTGCGGGACTCCCCCACAATGCGTCTATCTCACATAGGAGCCCCGCCATGGCGTGCCCAGACACCCGATAAGTCACCACACGTCACTCGGTGAGATCCCAGCCCCCCGATGACGCCCAGCTGGGACAGCCCCAGTGACCCTATGGACCTCCGGCGCCCCCCAGCCCTGCGGGACTCCCCCACAATTGCGGTCTACTCACATAGAGCCCGCATGGCTGCCCAGACACCCCGAAATGACCAACCAGGTCACCGGGATTCCCAGCCCCCCATGAACCCACTGGACAACCGCCGCCAGTGACCTATACCCTCCCGTGCCCTGCCTCCGCCCGGGCTTCACCCTCGGGCCCTGCTGGGGCTCACCGGTGGCGGCGCCTCGCTGATACTAGCGCTGGCGTGGGCTTTGCGGTGGCAGTCGGTGTCTTTGGGGGTGTCCGAGTACTGACGAAGGAGCCTTGAGGCATGGTAGCGCACCCCACAGGCACCTCAGGGGTTCCCCGCCTGAGGCGGCTTGCCGCAGAACCTCTTCCGAGGACTTCCCTTTGCCCCCCTCCCCCCAAAGCCTCCTGGGACTTGGTTCTTCAATGGCGGTGAAAATGGCCTGGGTCTGCCGTGTTTCCCGGAAAATAAGACAGGGTCTTATATTTCATTTTTCCTTCAGGAAGACACGCCTGGGCTTAATTGTTCAGGGGATGTGTTATGTTTTTTTAAGTATGGCACAGCCATCTACATTTATTCAAATAGAGTGAAGTCGTCTTCTTCTGAGGCATCATCCTCACTCTCCAAACTCCGAAGTCGCGCAGTCCTGAAGTGTTGTTGAACTCTATTTCCTTTGGAACCACTGGCCCCATCTCTCCTGTCAGCCATAAAGCTGTCATGGGGCAGATGAGAAGGGCTTGCTTGTGTTCTTTCCCGCTAGGGCAACAACATGCATGTGGTGTGAAGATGCGCTGTAGCACGCCCTAGACCCTGTAGGGCGTTATTTTCATAGCCACGGCCCGATCACTAGGGCTATGTTTCGCGATAGCCAACGCCCACCACTAGGGCTTATTTTCATAGCCACGCCCAGCATTGTATGGGCTTATCTTTTCGGTGGTAGGGCTTCTGTATTGCGCACATGGACTTCAGAATCAACACTGCTAGGGCTAATTTTATGGGGAGGTCTTATTTTCGAGGAAACACAGTAACCAGTTTATCAAACTCAGCAAAAAGCACCATCTTCTCAATGGCTCCAGCAAAGACCAGCTCTGTGTCTCACTGGTCTTGTTGTTGCAGCTGCAGGGGGATTTGGCCTGGGCCCAGTCACTCATAAACACAAAATCCAATCCTTGAGACAACGAAGATTGCCAAGGAAGAAAGGGATTTTTAAAGATGAAAGATGGGAGACATTGCCTCAAATCCATCTCCCCAACTAACAGACATCATGAGCTATTAAAGGAGGGGCCCACATGCCCTGGGGCAGGTCGCGGTGTCACTAACTAACAAGAGGCTACCTGCATTGGGGGCAGGTTGTGAAGGGATGGTGAGTCTTGGAGTCAGGTAGTCTCCCCTGGGCCTTCATAATTTAAATCCCTTTGTCTTGCAGAAACAACTCAAAAGGTCAAGTCTTTAGTTAAGGGAGAGGATTATAAAGAATATATAGGGGTCGTTGAAATTTGCATAGGGCTGGTTACAGTCTGGCTTCTGTCATGTGTCCATGTTGACTCTATCAGTGTGGTCAGGGACCTAACTAGGCCTAGGTTCTGTGCCCACCCCTGGAACTAAGGAGGTGGTGCCAACCCCACTGAAACTACTGTGGGGGCATGGAGGTCTTTCACAGGCATACTGAGATGCCCTTCTCAAAGAGGGAAATAATAATGGACACTGGCTGGTCAAACGTCTCAGAAGTCCACTCCCCACCGAAGTCCATTCTTCTTAAGAGCAACATAACTGCTGCCTCTAGAACCAGTTTGTTAACAATACTGCATAACACCAACGTACATAACATTGCCTTCGCTGGGAAAAGAGGGTCACAGCCCTTATTCTGTTCTGCTATAATTTGTTCTGCAATGACTAACTCTTTAGCCAGAAATCTGTGACCAAGGGCTTATTACCATAGAAACTTCCTTTGAGGGGACAATTAGCATCTATTGTTATCATTGGAATGTCATCATTTCATCAGGAGTTGCTAATAATGGTGCTCTTTTGGCTTTCTATTCTTTCCTGGAGATCATTGTAATCAGTTCCCTGAGGTCAGGGGCCACATCAACACACTACCAGGCAGCTAATTAGTGGCTTCTCAGATGTCCGCTTGGTTCTACCAACTTTTCCTCTACATTTAGACTCACAGAGGCTCCTGAGGTGCACGAACAAAGAAAAGCTAGTGAGGGTAATTCTGGGTTTGCCAGCCCAAGAACAGCATTTTGGAGTTCTAACTCAATAGTGAACAAGGTAGGGGGGCGGAATCGCTGTCTGTCTCAGCCTCCCAAGTAGCTGGGACTACAGGCATGAGCCACCATGCCCGGCTAATTTTTCTATAATATATTAGTTGGCCAATTAGTTTCTTTCTATTTTATAGTAGAGACGGGGTCTCGCTCTTGCTCAGGCTGGTTTCGAACTCCCGACCTCGAGCAATCCGCCCGCCTCGGCCTCCCAGAGAGCTAGGATTACAGGCGTGAGCCACCGCGCCCAGCCAGAGCTTGGGTTTTGAAATCAGGCAAGAACTGGTTTGTGGCCAAACTGCTGGCTAGTTCATTTGGTGATCATGAACAAGTTATTTAACATCTATGTCTCACTTTCCTCATGTGTAAAATGGGTCTAGTAATTCCAACCTCACATGGTTGTTCTGAGAATTAAAATGAAATAATAGGCGTGAAATTCTTAGCACAATTCCTTACATGTGGTCTGTGCCAATTAAGTAGTAGCTATTATAATTCGAACTAAACCAGGTACTTTGTGATTGCCCACAGGCAGTCTAAACTAAGAAGATGCCACTGTCAGCGGTCTTAGAAGGGAAGGGGAAATAGAAAGTCACCTGGTGGTTTTTGAGGAAGCTCTGTAAGTAGGACACTAGAGAGCCCTTCTCATTGGTCGTTCCTCATTTTTCTTTCCATTTATTGTACTCTCCACGGGTCCGGCACTGGGCCCTGGAGCTTTCTGAGTGCTGTCAACCGGAATCTTCAGCTGGCTGGTATAGTAGTCACGATCCTTCCCATGCTTTGAATGAGGGAGCTTTCTGTTCATTTGGATTCACCAAAGGGCAGCACCTCCAAAAAAGTCAGCCCTTTCTGTTACATTAACATCTCCTCCGAAAATGTCTACTCTTTTTACTCTATTTTCCCAAAGACTGAATCTCCCTAAAGCTGACAAGTGGAGCAAAGCAAAGAAAATCACAGCAGACGTCGGACACTAGAGAAACATTCCTCTACCAGTGTAGTATTAAAGAATTTACGGCAGCGTGTGGCTCACGCCCGTGTATCCTAGCACTCTGGGAGGGCTGAGCGGAGGAGTTGCTCAAGTCAGCGAGTTCGAGACCCAGCCTGAGCAAGCAGCGAGACCCCGTCATCTACTAAAAATAGGAAAGTAATTAATTGGCCAACTAAATATACATATAGAAAAATTAAGGCCGAGCATCGCAGTGGCGCATGCCGTGGTGTAGTCCCAGACCACTCAGGAGGCTGAGGGCGGGAGTGGAGCTCGCTGTGTGAGCCCAGGACCGTTTTGAGTTTTGGTTTTGAGGTTGCCCAGCACTCTAGCCCGGGCAACAGACTAAGACTGTCTCCAAAAAAAGAAAAAAAAAAAAAAAAAAGGAAAAGAATTTCACTACTTAGTGCAATGGGAATTGTTACTAGCAAATAAAAATAATAGTGAAACGGCAAGTTGGGTGCTAAATGTGTAGAGAGCTTGAGGAGTTAACTGGAACTGTGTATTACACGGCGGGTGGGAGGCAATATGGTAAAACAAGTTTGCAGTTCCTTTAAAAGAGTTAAACATACACCTACCATATGGATGCCAGCAATCTACTCTAATTATTTACCTAAGAGAAATGAAAGCACATACCACACAAACATTTGACAGCAATGGGGTGAGATCGCGGCCGGAGTGAGCTGTTGCACTTATTAATTGCTCAGAAAAACTGAGACGAGCAAGCGGGCGGGCCGTCTGCCAAGTGCGCGGGTAACGATGGACGAACTGTGAGGGCTGATCTGCTGACAACATGCGGCCCCCTCGTCTGCCGCGATCTGGCCTCATGTTCCTTGTACGAGTGGACTACCATTCAGCAACTTAAAAGGAAGGAACT